GGGGGGGGGGGGGGGGGGGGGGGGGGGGGGGGGGGGGTACTTATTTAGCCGGACGGCGAGCTCCAAGCGAAATCACGCGCTCTCTGGCCATTCGGCAGGTGGCACGCCTCACAAAGGACCGTGGACGCCGCAATCATTCTCAAGAAAACCTGCTCCCACCCTCCCAATCGCTCTTCTTACTGAATCCTCACACAAAAGCAATACACGCCGTCTGGTGTCAAGAAGGGAGTGTTCGATTTCCTGTATATGCCGCCAAACACGAGCACAACCCGCTCCTCGTCTGTGTGCCACTCTACAAAACTGAACTCACCCGGGGAGAATGGACAGAAAATCAACAGACTCAAGAGGTTTTGGATTAAACCTTCATATATCACGAACGAACTAGGTATAACACCCGCGCACGTGATGAAAATCAAACCTTGCGCACATACTTGATATTTGCATAGCTCAATATTGCTGTACGGCCGAAAGGCCTCTGTTGTCGTCACAGATATCGTAGCCTCATCTCCCTACGCAAAAACTCTCTCACCCTTCGAAAACGCCGAGATGGCTTCCTTAATGCTGCCTCCCGCCGGAGGCGCTTCCCCCGGCGCCGCTGAGCTGCCGCCGGGCGGCGGCGATGCAGCGCCCTCTTTTCCAGCGGCATTCGGGGCGGGTGGGGGGGGTGCCCCATCGCTTCCCTCGGCCTTGACGGGGGTCAACGACAGCAGCGGGCGTCCTCCCGGGAGAGCTTGCCCTAGCGTTGTCTCGTCACTGAAGGTTTACAGCATGAGATGAGCATTGTCCCGTAGACGAATGGGGAGGTGTTCCCACTATTTACGGTTGAGGAAGATGATTTCTTTGTCCCGTGAAAAAAGTCAGCTCGCGGTGTGTTTGGTCTAGCAACGAGCACAGATCCGGGCACACGAAGAACACTTCCAGCAGTTCCATTCCTCCGCGCTACATGCATGCCTTCCCCGCCCCGCCCTACCGCGAGAAACGCTTCTGCAATGCTCTTTCCCTCCCACTCTACAGGTGCAGCAGCACCAGACAGAACCTTGCATACACAAACCACTACAGAAGTACTGGTAGCAGCAGCGAACAAGCGCATCTGAATCAAAAACAGCAGTATCAAGCGTCATGGCGGGGGTGTGCACCCCCAAGACCTCAACCGCGCGCGTAGCATTGCGAGGGATGTGTCCCTCGTTCAATCTAACTACATCACGGGAGATGCGTACCACGAATTGTGCAAGCGGCTTCCGCATCACCCACGACTTCGTGAACAAACAAATTGCAAAAGGGTCTCTTTGAGTTTCACACAAAGGAGTTATCACCGCTCAACAAACAGACGCAGAGAATGTGCACCTGTGAGCCAAAGCCAGGTGATGTCAAGCGCTTGTTGGTGAGCCGGGACAACTCTGCTTGGTTGTTGAGCAAATCCTGGAGCACCATACTTTCGCCCATGATGGCACTCGCTGCCAGTCTTGACAACTCTAACTTCTACCATTCCACCCACAGATGCTTTCTTTCGCGAAATAATCCAGTTGGACAGAAGTGCGATTATCGCCGGCAAAAACGATGTGGGTTTGTGCACCTGTATGTAATGTCCCACCGTGTTCATGCGCAAGTGCCAACGGCCGAAAAAGCGGGACAGCTGCCACACTCGTGAACACCCAAGAGGGTATTGGTGGAATAAAAGACACATGCGTGCTGCTGATGGTGGTGGTGTTGGTATCATATCATGAATGGGCTTTCATGAGCGAAGCTCTACGCTCTTGCTCGATCCCTCCTTCAAGGCTGCATGCACGCAACAGGAGAAAGGACTGATGTGGTGCATCGACCCCCCACAGGCAGCACGGTGCTCCACGTAGCTACACAAGAGAGCGAGCTAAACCTCATATCATGGGTTCGGCTTCCCCCCATACTGCTGCCGCTGTGCGTCAAGCATGACCTGGCGCGACCCTTACTGAGCAAACCGATATCGAGTCGAAACGCATACAAGGCAACTAGGCGGCCCAACTCGCCGCCTAGCTGCATCCTGCGTATCACCCAACATCAACATGACTTCATGATACAACAAAAATTCGGGGCGCTTGACCCTGGAAGCGACAGCCTTCCAGCCTCCGCGAGAAGCAGCACCAGCTCAGAAGCACGCACCACCACTCACCTTTCTGGTCTGGTCCCGGGTATGGCCCGCTTGCCCGCCTTGCGCACCCTCGAGAACGGGTTGAAGGATGCAGTGACAGGAACGTGCGAGACAAACGCCGCGGCCGAGTCGTGACCAGGGGAAGCACGAGTGCCGGAGGGGCACGCAGCGTCACAGTATGTGCCGCCAGCCAGCAGCGACAGGACCGCCAACCGCGCAGCAGGGCCGGGCATTCTTCTGAGTTTATCAGGGGGGCAGCCCTCGAGCATGCACACGCTAGGGAGATCAAACGCTCGCGCTCACGCACGGCTGCACTTCTACTGGGAAAAGCCCCCTACTACCCCTCTCCATAATTCTGCGAATCCCCCTCAGAAGGTGTGAACATGGGAACATTACATACGAGACAGAGCGGACGGGATAGCCGCGAGAAGGGAAGTTATGTCTTTCACACACACCAAACGGGGAGAAAACGGGCCTCAGGTTGTTCGTGAGTCAACCGCTCCCAGTCTCTCAGCCTCCGGTACTTCGACACGTATGTGTACAAATAAAAATGGTGATGATCGATGCCCTCGCATCAACATCGGACGGCCGTAATACTACTGCTGTTGTGCACTGAACAACGCTATCGCGATAGACAAGTCATGCTGCAAGCAGTCGTTCTGCGGACAGGGGGTAAGATACCGGTCGTATGCCCCGTGAGTGACGAACGGAATGGGTAACGCGCCCTTGTCCAATGAAGAAGACAGCGAGCCGCATTCGGCAAGTGATGAAGCAACAAGGCCGAGTTCGGCTATCTTGCAGGATCGCGTGGGTCGACGCGTGGTTGCATGTGGCGGAGGTTTCAGCAAACAACAGGCCCGATCGACAGCGTGACCGCCGTGACTAACACGGAGAAATGGGCGAGGGCCCGGAAAGTTTGGCCTCGAGGCTAAAGGACGACGCAGCGAGGTGTTGCGGAACAAGGAACGAAAGAGGGGTCATGCACTGGAATGTATCACGAGCCCACGAGAAGCCCTGGTGGTGCTGATGTCAAGGTTTAGCCGGAGAAGCAGGTATCACCCAGAGCGTTTGCGGAGATGCTTGGCGTCGAGCTGTGAACTTGGAAATTTCCCTGGCGCCGACCGTCGAAGCAGATTTACTCCATCAGTTTGTCCCAATCGAATCAGAGTGCGCCGAGTGCACGAAGAAAAGTAACAGACATTGTTGATTTGTACCTTGTTTTTTTCGGACAGTTTTTCAGTTTGGTCCCCAACAATTGAAGCATCTCATTATCTCAAGCATTCAGTGTGGTATCCGTATCTTCTTCCGCCCAAACGTGTTGCGTCGAACGCAACACGAACAACTGCGCGGGGCTGAGGGGTGTGTTAAGGGCACGGCGGCACAGGAAGGGACGGACCCCCGGATATCAACGAAAAGAACTTAATGGCAGTTTTCACTTGAACGCAACGAAAAAGGTCCAAGAGCTTGCATAGTGTGCCAACAGGGTGTATCGTTTGTAGCGAGCGCTGTCCGGAGAGGATTCACGAAGAGGAGCAGCAACCACTGCATGGCACCTTTCGACTATGCACGCGTACGCCGACCCTGCTGTTGTAGCCCGAAATTTCCACGTCAACGCGGTCGCCAGGCCCACCTTCCGCGTTTGTCGTGCAGACAATGTCGTTGTTCATCAATCATTTCTCCGTTCTCTCCAGTAACGTGTTCATTTCGATTGGTACTCTTCGTGTGCACCACTCCTGCCCACAGCTAAGCCAGGTCGAAGCCAAACAGAATACAAGAAACCGGACAGCACCGCGCGGAGATGAGGTCACTACGAACATTGATGAGGACGTATGATTGATGTTTTGGTTTGTTTCTCGTTGGCAAGGCCCAATGCCGTCGCTCCGTAGAAGCAGCTGACGCCAACATCGGCGCCCACCCGCGGTGACATCATATGACCAGCCGCGGATCTTGTGCCCTCAGCGCGTTCTACAAAAGCGGGGCTGGCTCGGCCGCCCTCTGCGCGGCTCTGTGGCGACCGAAAACGCAGCCGCCCCGAGTGGGATAGGGTTGCTGAGAGGGTGTGCCCTTGTGCGTGCTGGGTTAGTGAAGTATGTCTGGTTTGTTTTTGATTTTTCGCACCGCATCATCATGCGGTTCTACGAACAATTAGATGGTCTGGACGGTGCGGTTCTTTGCCTCGGTCTCGATCCATGAACAGTTGTACCTTATTTCGACGCCTGACGGCATAAGACGATAGAGCAATGCCGTGTCTTCAATTTCTGACGACTTGCATTTCTGAAGACCTGTACTCAAGAAGAGAAACTTGGTCTCAGCGGGCAACGCGTGGGAGTTGCGTCGAGCACCACCACGACTTGGTAAGGTCGCAGCAAAATCGCGCGCCCACCTGGCGTTCGTCGTACTTCACAATGGTTAGAAGCACGCAGTGTGTTGTGTGTTAAGTTTGTGGGGACGCCCGTTGTTTCTTCGAGGAAAGGGCTGAAGATCGACGTGAGCCTGTCGCGCGATTTGTTCGAAGCTGGTGTTTTTGTTCTTGGTGTTGTTTCGGAAGTAACGACAATTGCCTGCAGTCGAGACTTTCTGAGCTGCAACTATGCACACATGTCTCAGGATAGTGTGATGTCTGACAATCGTTTGGCCCCTCTTCCGCCACGCAAGCGACCCTCCTCATTTACGGAGGGTCTGGGGTGGCGGGTGAGAGGAGATGGGATCAAGCCGATAGGGCAACGTTTCAAACTGGCGGTGGCGTTGAGATATCTTGTGTCGCTGTTGTTTTCGGCGTCCATGTGTGGCTGTAGCTGCCCTGTTTGACATCGGAAAGGGGCACCCCCCCTATGCGGGGCATGCCCTGAGAGTACATGGATTCCGTTGGCTTGGGGCTCGTTGCTGCGTTCCGTGTCGGAGTTCTTACGTTGTTATTTGTATCCTTTCCTCTCTTCGTTTGTACGTTGTGTGCGCAAGGGTTTGTGCGCCAAGCTTCGATGAAGTCGTTCGGCACATTATGTTTGCCCGTCGCCACCGTTTAAATATGTAACATTCTAGACTGTGGACAATAGGTAGAATTACAGTGATGATCAGGAGTAGATCCCCACATTTTTGCTATTTACTACTTTAGGTCCACATGTGTCGACATGTTTTGTTGGCGTGTACCCCGGAAGGCGGCTTCGTCAGTTACGCAGTTACGGAATTTAGAAGGTGCTGAGCGGAGATCGGAACTGTTTTATTATTGGAAGTCTACAGACAAGACAACAGGCACTTGAACCTGACCTAATAAGTCTGTGGTTGGCTGTTCTGATAGAAGAACCCAAGAGAAAAGGACTCCAGAGTTGGGTTGTACACAAGTACGTAAAAGGTTCAAATTGCAGGCATTCGATAATCAATTCTGCCGTTGTCTTGATTTTCTTTCATCCTGGCTGGCGTGTCCTTGGTTGGTCGGCCGAGGATTCGATCAAGTTAACAGCCTTCCAGCCGGGCGCACAACAACTATCGGCAACAAGAAATATTCACGGCCGATCTCACATTTGCAACTACAACAAAAACAACACTGGTTGGCGTGTTGGTGTCCCCGTTGTGCGAAATTACATAATCTAGACTACACGTTGAGGCATGTACTACAGCACGCGTGCTTTCACGGCCGGGGTTAAGCGACATGCGGCCTTGCATGAGAGGAAGCACAAGACTGGCTGGCACACACCATTCACGGCGGCGGTGGAAACAATCGTTCGTCTGGTGTTCGGTCAGGATCGTCTGGGTCGGTCGTGTGCATGTTGTAAATTGCGGTCAAGTTGATTGTGGTCGTCGTGAGGAATCACACTACTGCACATACAATAGTCTATATATATATATAGCGATGGCGGGGGGTACCGGATACCGGGGCGGGCAGGAGAGCGACTGGGTGTATCGCCTAGGAGAGGACCTCGTGGCGTTTGGCATGAAAGAGGAGAAGGAGGGGGGGAGATGGAAAGAGAGCGCCAAGGACCAGGAGGCGTGGTACGACAAGATCGAGGACGGGGCGGCATGGTTCATGAGGAAATGGCACAGACAGGAGGCGGAAGCATCCGCGAAGCGCCAGCGCCAGCGCGCGGAGGAAGCAGAGACGGAGAGCACGGCCGCCCCGGGCCCGAAGAGAAAGAGAATCGGGGAAGCGGCGGGGGGGGGGAAGAAACGGCGACCGGACACTGCTGTAGAAGCGAGTAGGGCGGCCAAGGCCGCGCTTGCGGCGAACGACGTACCCAACTGATGATGTTGTCGCACCCTGTGTTCCCTTTTCCCTGCCGTAAGCTGTATGCTCTTAGTATTGCCTCCGGCCTCTCTTTGTGCTTTTCTTCTTTCTTTCTTTCTTGTTCTCCATGCCCTCTCTACGATGATCTTGGACGATACCTCGAGCTCCTTGTTATTTTTGTTTTTTCCTTTGCTGGCTGCCTGCCACCTCTGCTGCCTCTTTGGTGCGGTGCCTACCCTACACTAATGCGCTGGTGCATACTGCACTGCTGTAGTACCTGGTACTGGTGTACGTTGTCCTTCGATTTTTTTTTTTTTTTTTGGGAATATATATGTGTTTGTTTTTCGCCCCCCGTCTTGCTGCACCCCCTGGGGTGTGGTGCAGGGCGGGGGATGCCTGGTCGGCGGGAACCCGGCACGGAACCCTCCGGCGTTGTAGGCGGGTGTGGGAAGCGTTCCCCGTTCTCCTTTTATTTTATTTTGATCGGTCTCCTCGACGCTCTTTCTCGTTTGGTGCGGTAGCTGGTCTTTCTTTCTATCATTTTGTTTCTCTTCCGAGTGGTTTTTGTACCCTATTTTTTTCTGTTTCTTCGTGGGGTCGTGTATGCCGGGTTTTGAGACCACGGGCTCCCAATCTTTTTTTTTTTAGAGCTAATGTGAGAAACAACAACATATATATGTATATCTCCACGATAGGTACTTGAACCATATTTCCTATGAGAGCGCCAGTATATCTGCCTGCCCTTAGAGTCGGCAGAGGGATGGGGATTCGAAGTTCTGGGCACGGCAAAGAGAAAGGAAGCCAACGTACAGCAGTAGCGCTACAGCAAGCAGGTATTTTATTCGAAACCTGCACAACAAGCATTTTACGAGTGACACCGACACAGAAGAATTACACGTACGTACAGCAGTCTCGGGCTACTACACCTGCCCAGACCTAATTCTAGTACACCTTCCAGAACTCTCAAGGCTAAATTCTGAATGTGTGATGTCATGGACGATAATTGGTCCACGTATGTGCCTGCGCCGTCGACGAGACACCTACTCTACA